TTCAGGCTCGGAGACAGAGGTAAGTGATAAACATAAATGTATCTTTATTTAACTCAAAGGTAAGTATGCAGGGTTTCGGGAGTTCAACGGTGATCTCGAAGAGGATATATGTGGCAGGAATGCATCCAGGTGAGTGAATCCTCTTCTTAAGGAATAACGTGGCGGGTAACACAGATCAATAACTTGAGTTTTTCTCTCTTTTCAGATCGTTCGTGGATAGGCGTGATTCAGGAAGGATTCCAGGTGAGTAGATCCTTTGAAGTGCACTTGACAATGAGCTCACCAGTTCAGTGATACTTTCACTTTCTCTTGCAGCTCATCCAGTGGGAAACGGGACTCGTGGCGGCTTCCAGGAAACGGAGAACATGAGTCATGGAGCGGATCCTGGGAACATCAGAACAAGGACAACAAGGTTAGTTTCTTTCAGGTAAGTATACTTTACGTCCCTTGCTGAAGGATGGCTCAGAGTGAGACAAGTGGTGACTGGTAAGGGTCGTTCCTGTTGGAGGCTTGACAATGACTGGGAGTGAATCGGGTGCTTTTGTGCTGGCTGGGAAGTGAGTGCTGAGTGGAAACAGGTGCAGGTGATCAGTAATCTGGGGACAGTGATCTTTGCGTGGTGACATGTGAGGGATCTGATTGGCTCCTGACAGTACCCCCCCCTCCAGAGTCCGCGCCAGCGGACCTTGGACCTCGACGTCGTGGGGGTCTGCCTCTGGGTCGTGGTGCAGGTTTCTCGGGATGCTGAGCATGGAATTCTAGGAGCAGACTGGGATCAAGAACATCATTACGAGGTACCCAACTTCTCTCTTCTGGCCCATATCCCTTCCAATCAATGAGGTATTCTAACTGACCTCCCCGACGTCGAGAGTCCAAGATCTCCTTGATGAGGTAGATGGGCTCGGGTTCAACGGGTGGTATCGGGGGGTTTTCTTCGGGTTCGACCTCGTTGACTGACTGGGGAATCTGTGGATGATGGGGTTTCAGAAGTGAGACGTGAAACGTGGGATGGATACGGTATTCTGGGGGCAACCGGAGCTGGTAAGTGACTGGGTTGACTTGCTTGACAATTGGAAAGGGTCCGATGTACTTGGGATTTAATTTCTTACATGACTGGCGCAGTTTGATATCTCGAGTGGAAAGCCAGACTAGTTGCTCAGGTTGGTATTCTGGTGTGGATCTTCGGCGGGTGTCAGCGAACTGCTGTTGTCTATTCACAGCTTGTCGGATGTGCTGATGAGTTTGGTTCCAGACCTGTTCGCTCTCCTCAAACCATTTGTTAACCGCGGGCACTTCTGAAGGTTCACCGGACCATGGGAATAACGGAGGTTGGTAACCAAGGATACATTGGAATGGAGTCAATTGAGTGGATGCTTGTCTGAGGGAATTCTGTGCATATTCTGCCCAGATGAGGTACCTACTCCAGATGTTCTGGTTGGAGTGGCAGAATGTGCGCAAGAACCGACCTAGATCCTGGATCTTTCTCTCGGTTTGTCCATTGGTTTGTGGATGATACCCGGAAGACAGACTCACTGTCACATTCATGAGAGTGAAAAATGATCGCCAGACTCGGGAAATGAACTGTGGCCCTCGATCGGAGACAATGTCCTCTGGCAGACCGAAATTTCGAAAGACATGTTCCATGAGAAGCTCAGCAGTATCAAAGGCGGTTGGAAGTCCCTTTAATGGAATGAACTTGCATGCTTTCGCGAAACGATCGATGGCTACTAGGATGCAAGTATTTCCGTCAGAAATCGGAAGGTCAGTAACAAAGTCCACTCCGATGTGGGACCAAGGTCTACTTGGAATAGGCAAGGGGACCAGTTTCCCCACTGGCAGATTTCTTGGGACCTTGGAGATGGCACATGGGATGCAACCTTGAATGAACTGAGTGATATCTTGGCGCATGTGAGCCCACCAATACTTCTCCTGAAGTGTGGCTAAGGTCTTGGTTATACCTGGGTGTCCAGTGGCCACTGAAGAATGAGCTGAGGAAATCAAGGCGTTGCGAAATTCTTCAGGGACATGAATCTTCCCGGGAGGACATCCGGGAACTCTGGGTTGCTGATGAGCCAATTCTTGAAGCTGTTCGTTTATTTCCCACTGGATAGGATTTACGAATAACCTCTCGGGTAGAATGGTCTCAGGTTGATCAACAGGGCTCTCAGGGGCATGGATACGGGAAAGAGCGTCTGCACGGGTATTCTTGGATCCTGGACGATAGGCAATCTTGAAATGAAAGCGTGTAAAGAATAACGCCCATCGGGCCTGACGTGGATTTAACCGCTTGGCATCTCTCAGGTATTGGAGATTCTTATGATCGGTTAGGACTAGAAATGGGTGTTTGGCTCCCTCTAGCCAATGTCGCCATTCTTCCAAGGCAAGTTTTACTGCGAGAAGTTCTCGATTTCCAATATCGTAGTTTGCCTCTGCTGGAGAAAACTTTTTGGAGAAGAATGCACAAGGGAGTGGCTTTGAGGAGAACTCGGAACATTGGGACAGGATTCCTCCAACCCCGGTGGTGGAGGCATCGACTTCCACCATGAATGGTTTTTCAGGGTCTGGATGGTGAAGCAAAGGGGCACTGGTGAAGGCAGATTTCAGAGCATGAAAAGCGTTCTCAGCCTCGGGGTTCCACTGCAGGATCTTAGGTTTTCCTTTTAGCAAGGAGGTCAATGGAGAAGTGAGAAGACTGTACTGGTTGATAAATCTCCTATAGAAGTTGGCGAACCCGAGGAATCTCTGAAGCTCCTTCACGGACTTGGGAGTTGGCCAGGACAGGACGGTCTCGGTCTTTTGTTGGTCCATCTCCACTCCTCGATCGCTGAGTATGTATCCCAGGAAGTCGATGGTGCTTTGATGAAAGGTACACTTCTCAGCTTTCAAGAACAGAGTGAATTCTCTGAGACGTTGTAGGACTAGAGACACATGTCTCTGGTGTTCGATTGGATTCTTGGAATAGATCAAGATGTCATCGATATAGACCAGAACAAACTTCCCTAGAAAGTCTCTGAGGATCTCATCCATGAAACTTTGGAAAAAGGAAGGAGCGTTGACCAAACCATATGGCATGACAAGATATTCGTAGTGGCCAGCAGGGGTTATGAAAGCAGTCTTCCACTCATCTCCTCTTTTGATACGGATTAGATTGTACGCACTCCGTAAGTCAAGCTTGGTGAACATCTTTGCCTCTCTGAGTTGTTCGAGAGCAGCGGGTATGAGAGGCAAAGGGTAGCTAAACTTCACAGTGACTTGATTCAAGGCTCTGTAATCAATGCATGGTCTTAAACCACCGTCTTTCTTGGCCACGAAGAAGAAACTTGCGGCAGCAGGAGATGTGGAAGGTCGGATGTAACCCTGATCTAAAGCTTCGTGGATATATTTCTTCATGGATTCTTGCTCTGGAATGGACAAGGAGTAAATCCGACCCTTGGGGAGACGTGCATCAGGGATCAGGTCTATAGCACAATCCCATGGTCGATGAGGGGGTAACTTGGAAGCAGTGACAGGATTGAAGACGTCAGAGAACTTAGAATAACAGGCTGGGATATTAGTTGACAAGTTTTCTGTGGGACTCTCTATGGACGTGGAGTTAACTTTGAGCACTTGGGTCCTTGGGTTACTGGATGAACGGGATACTGGATCGTTGATCTCTGGACATTGACATCCCCATTGCAGGATTTTCCCAGACGTCCAATCAATGGTGGGTTGGTGATGGACGAGCCATGGCCGACCAAGGATGAGATCTGTTTGGCTGTTTATCAACACAAATGGTTCAAACCACTCTTGGTGCGTCTCTTCCACACACAATTGAATAGGACCAATCTGGGTAGTAACGTTCGTCTTGTTAATTAACTCACCCGTTACAGCGTAGATGGCGTAAGACTTGGGAGTGTTGATCTCTCGCAGACTGAGCCTCTCACAGAGTTCTCCAGAAATGAAGTTTCCCGCGGACCCTGAGTCGATGATAGCTGTTACAGAGATGTGTTTTTCTTGAATCTTTAATATCACAGGAATCGTGAGTGGTGCTGAGACAATGGGTTGATTAAAGACTGAGCTTACCATCATTTTCCCCGGTCGAATTGGGCAGTTAAGTCTGAAGTGACCCTTGGTACCACAGTACATACATAACTTCATCTCTCTTCGACGAACGCGTTCAGCCTGAGAAATTTTTGAAGTGTCGACTTCCATCTCTTCAACTTGATTTTCTGGATTGAGATTCTTGGGATTCTGAAAAGACACAGGATGGTGATGAGACTGATCAGCGTAACAACTCAAAGATCGTTGATGGACTCGCTTGGCTTGCTGAATGAATTTCTCAATTCCTAAGCTGTCATCATAGATCGCCAGTTGGAGGCGCAAAGCTGGGTTTAAACCTCGACGGAAAACAGAAATCAGAGCTCTCTCATTCCATCCACTATTTGATGCAAGTGTGCGAAATTCCACAGAATACTCAGTCAATGACTTCTTTCCTTGACGTAATTGTAGGAGCTGTTCTCTAAATGAGGAATCATCCACGGGTCGTCCGAAAACTTCCTTAAAATGTTTGACAAACTCTTGAACTGACGCAACCACTGTGGATTCCTGCATCCATAACACCTCTGCCCACCTCAGAGCTGCTCCAGAGAGTTGCTGAATGATAAATGCCACTTTCGATCTCTCATTGGGATAGAGCTGAACTTGCTGTTCCAGAGCTAGCGAACACTGGAGTAATAATCCGTTTTGGTCCTCCGCCCGGCCAGAGAAGGGCGCTGGGCGCGACGGGGGAGTTGCAAAGCAGGTAATCGAAGAAGCGGCGCTCGCGGAAGTTCTCACTGGAGTAAACATGGGTTCTGTCGGAGGATCGGTGGTAGGTGTGGAGCTGGTAGCAACAGCTGGCTGTCCGGAATCCATCTCTCACCTCTTTCTGTTGTTAGGTCAAGCCTTCTGTCAGGATTCAGGCTCGGAGACAGAGGTAAGTGATAAACATAAATGTATCTTTATTTAACTCAAAGGTAAGTATGCAGGGTTTCGGGAGTTCAACGGTGATCTCGAAGAGGATATATGTGGCAGGAATGCATCCAGGTGAGTGAATCCTCTTCTTAAGGAATAACGTGGCGGGTAACACAGATCAATAACTTGAGTTTTTCTCTCTTTTCAGATTCGTTCGTGGATAGGCGTGATTCAGGAAGGATTCCAGGTGAGTAGATCCTTTGAAGTGCACTTGACAATGAGCTCACCAGTTCAGTGATACTTTCACTTTCTCTTGCAGCTCATCCAGTGGGAAACGGGACTCGTGGCGGATTCCAGGAAACGGAGAACATGAGTCATGGAGCGGATCCTGGGAACATCAGAACAAGGACAACAAGGTTAGTTTCTTTCAGGTAAGTATACTTTACGTCCGTTGCTGAAGGATGGCTCAGAGTGAGACAAGTGGTGACTGGTAAGGGTCGTTCCTGTTGGAGGCTTGACAATGACTGGGAGTGAATCGGGTGCTTTTGTGCTGGCTGGGAAGTGAGTGCTGAGTGGAAACAGGTGCAGGTGATCAGTAATCTGGGGACAGTGATCTTTGCGTGGTGACATGTGAGGGATCTGATTGGCTCCTGACACACAGGGGCCTCTGGGACTTACACGCCTTCACTAAACTGCTTCAGCCAGTGGTGTATGCAGTGATGTGTTCAAAAACATCCATGATGGAGAACTGTGAAGAACTGCAGCTCGTATCACACTGACTCTTAAATTAATAAACAGAGAGAGAGAGAGAGAGAGAGACATACAGATGGAGTGAAGGTGTCAGGTAGAGAGAGAGAGACGGCAGATCATTTCTTTTCAGGAGATACATGGTGCATTAGTGTTTCCATTTAATGGTTCAATAAGAGCTTTCTAAAGGGATATTGTTTCCGTTTGCTTATTGGTCCATTCATTATTCCAGCAGATGTGTGACTTTAACATGCATCTCACCCTGGGAAAGCACATTACAGAGAAAAAATAGAGGTATACAGCGCATGTTGACCAAAGAAAGAGGACTGAGGTTCATGAACACACACACACACACACACACACACGCACTTGCAGTCTCCAATTGTGTTTGGATTGTGGGGGAAACCTTATTCTGAGACATGTTAATTGTTTTGTTGGTCTCAGTGAGTTATGGAGGTGAGACAAACAGTTCATGCTGGTAATGCAGACCGAATGGAGAGTGGCTTTAGTATTGACAGATGCTTGTTAGCAATTGAAAAACACCTGTAATTGTGCACACACTGTATACAGAGTGTATGTGTTCACACACATGTACGAGTGACACTCCTGGTCACTCCACTACAGTAGTTTGGAGTTTGATGTGTTTCTGGCTAGTCATTTGCTGATTGTGTGTAGAATTACTATACAAAAACACAATTTTTAGAAGAGTTATAATAGTTTTGAATTAAGTGTTTGCATTTTGTATGTTGTGTGTCTGTTGTGTGTGTAGAGTTTTGAGGAAATGGGCCATAGTTTGAGCATAGTATTGTAAGCAATAAAAAAAATATAAAAACTGTACGTACCTTTTAAACCCCAAGTGATCAAGCCAAAGGTGCCAGTGGCAAAATACTCCATCAAGTGACAGAAATGGAGAAAAATACAATTTCAATTTACATTTATTTTTTTATAGCGCTTTTCACAATACATATCATTTCAAAGCAGCTTTACAGAAAATTACAGTCCACTTTACAATTTACAGTGATCTGTTATCAGAGGTAAATGTGTCTGAGTTATGTATTTCAGAAATGTACATATACATAATCACAGCTACACTGTAAAAAAAAAAATCCTAATTTTACAGAAAATAACTGATTTTACAGGTATTTCCTAAATTATTATGATTATATACCTTCATTGTAAAAACAATCGTAAAAAAAGGGTCAAATGACTGGCAGCTATGGCTGCCAAACAAAAAACATACAATTAAAGTAAAATATTCTAATTTAAATAAACCAAAAAAACACTGTTATTTCACAGGTATTTCCTGCATTATTATGATCAAATACCTTCATTGTAAAAAAAACATGAAAAAAAGGGTCAAATCACTGGCAGCTATGGCTGCCAAACAAAAACCATAGAATTAAAGTAAAATATGCTAATTTAAATAAAGTGCAAAAAACTTTAACAGAAATGTGATGTCGCCATGATGGTGATCAGTGTGCTTTAGTCGGGCTCATGACCCTTGAGTTTTTAACATTAGTTTATGTCTGGCTGCTTTAACTGTGTTTTTGATACACATTTGATCACATCTATATGATCTATAGGCTTACGCAGCAGACGCTTACTCCGTTGCTCCGGCGAATTACTTCATTAATCCTTGTTTTTCTGCTTTACCACGCATTTATAAGCAAGCACTTTCTATTTTTATATCATGTGAACTTATTCACGAAACTATTCCTTATAAAAAACAATTAGATTGCTTTGATATCGCTACTTATATCCAACCTTTCGATTCTCGGCTACTAGCCTTTAGCCCGCTAACATTTCACGCGTGGCCTCGGCCGTCTAATATTACACCCTTTCACTGAAAGGACACGGGTTATATTTGACATTGCAGTCCTAAATTAGTACTGATAGTTGTAGTATCACTTACAGCTCATTTGTTATAATGGCGAACATATCGGATGCGTGTCTAACTTTACCTCTGAGTGCAGGTGAGGACACTTTCGAGCTATTCTCGGTGAATCTGGAGCTGGAATCCGTGGAGAAACAGATCCGTGGTCTGCTGGAAAAGCAAGCCGAGCTGTTGGATCGGCGATCAGCACTTGAAGCAGCACGCGCCGATGCTCACAAGTTAGTGGTTAGTAACTCTTTAACTCCGAGTTCGTCTACTCCGTGTGTTTCTCTGTCCAGAAGGACGCGATCATCTCGGGCTTCATTTACTCCGGCACCGACACAACACAATGGACCATGGATCACGCAGCGGAAGACGCGAGCCAGGACCAGAGCTACTCCTCCGCCCCTCCCGGTCTTCGAGATCTCCACTCGGAACCGCTTCTCCCCTCTTCGCGAGTCGAAACGCGACGACGCCGTGATCATCGGCACGTCCATGGTCCGCCATGTCCGTGCAACCTTAGGTAAAGGTAAGGTGCGCTCTCACTGCTTTCCTGGTGCTCGTGTTCTTGATATCGCTGCACAGGTTCCCGAAATCCTGACCGGGGACGAGCGCGTCGGAGCTGTGGTGCTGCATGCGGGAGGGAGCGACGTCAGGCTGCGGCAGACGGAGGTTCTGAAGAGGGACTACATGAGCCTGATCGAGGCGGTACGCAACACAGCGCCTGAGGCAACGATCATCGTGTCTGGACCGCTTCCCACGTACCGACAAGGACAGGAAAGGTTCAGTAGACTATTTGCACTAAATGAATGGTTAATGTCACTGTGTAATGAACAGAAACTGCTCTTTGTAAATAATTGGAATCTGTTTTGGGAGCGACCCAGGCTGTACCGTGCTGATGGCCTGCACCCCAGCAGAGCCGGAGCGGCTGTTCTGTCGGATAATATCTCCAAGACGTTACGCACCAGATGACTAATAAGACAAAATCCAAATCACAGTCTTTGCTGTCCAAACTTAATTGATATACGTAGTGAAGAACATTATATAGAAACTGTGTCTATTCCTCGTTTAGTGAAGCCAAACAATAAATCTAGTGCAGGATCTAGCAAAAATCTTATTGTAATTAAACCAGAAAATCTAAATATCAGTGAACAAAAAGAATTTCTAAAGCTAGGTCTTCTAAACATTAGATCGCTCACACCTAAGGCGGTTATTGTAAATGAAATGGTCACAGATAATAATTTCGATATACTTTGCCTTACTGAAACCTGGCTTAAACCAAATGAGTATTTCGGTCTAAATGAGTCTACTCCGCCAAGATACTGTTATAAGCATGAGCCCCGTCTGATCGGTCGTGGCGGCGGTGTTGCAACAATCTATAAAGATATTCTTAATGTTTCTCAGAAAACAGGTCACAGATTTAATTCGTTTGAAGTACTTATGCTAAATGTTACGCTCTTAGATGTAAGAAAGAAATCCATATTATCTCTAGCCTTGGCTACTGTATATAGACCTCCAGGGCCATATGCTGAATTTCTAAAAGAGTTTGCAGACTTTCTCTCGGATCTATTGGTCAATGTCGATAAAGCAATAATTGTTGGAGATTTTAACATACACGTAGACAATAAAAATGATGCGTTAGGGGCTGCGTTTACAGATTTATTAAACTCCTTTGGGGTCAAGCAAAACGTCCGTGGTCCCACTCATCGTCTAAATCATACACTAGATTTAATTATATCATACGGAACCAATCCAACTGATATAGATATTATACCGCAAAGTGATGATGTCACTGATCATTACATGGTAACGTGCATAATACGTACTGCTGAAATATGTCATGTTGCGCCACGTTATAGACCAGGCAGAACAATCCTTCCAATCACTATAGATAGATTCTCAAATAGCTTACCTGATCTATCTCAGCTGCTTAGTGAACCCAAACAAACAGATGAACTAGAGGAAATGACTAGCAGTTTGAGCACCATTTTCACTAGTACATTAGATATTGTTGCACCAATTAGATTAAAAAAGGTTAAAGAGAAAACTAAAGCACCCTGGTACAACAGTGCTACGCATGATATCAAGAGAGAAACTCGTAACCTAGAGCGTAAATGGAAACAAACTAATTTAGAGGTCTTTAGAATCGCGTGGAAAGACAGTATGTCACGTTATAAAAAGGCTCTAAAAACAGCCAGGGCTGAGCACCTCCGCAAACTAATAGAAAATAACCAAAATAATCCAAGGTTCTTATTTAACACCGTGGCTAGACTAACAAATAAACAGACATCACCAGAGCAAAATATACCGTTACAGTTTAGTAGTAATGATTTTATGAATTATTTCAATGAGAAAATAGAAAGCATTCGAAACACAATTGTAAATGTACAATCCTCTATGGTCTCTTATGCTTCAACCTCAATTATGGCCCCTCTAGAACAACTACACCGCTTTGCAACGATAGGACAGGAAGAGCTAAATAAACTTATTATTGCATCTAAACCAACAACATGTTTATTAGATCCAATACCCACTAAACTACTGAAAGAAGTGTTACCTGTAGTGGAAGAGCCTCTTCTCAATATTATTAACTCGTCTTTATTCTTAGGTCATGTTCCAAGAATATTCAAGTTGGCAGTAATAAAACCTCTCATTAAGAAACCGCAATTAGATCCAAATAACCTAGCAAATTACAGACCCATTTCAAATCTTCCATTTATGTCCAAAATACTAGAAAAAGTTGTATCCGCTCAACTGTGCTCTTTTTTGCAAGAAAATGATATCTATGAAAAATTCCAGTCAGGATTCAGACCGCATCATAGTACAGAAACTGCGCTAGTTAAAATTACAAATGATCTACTCTTAGCTTCTGACCAAGGCTGTATCTCAATACTAGTCCTACTTGATCTTAGCGCCGCGTTCGACACTATAGATCATAAAATACTCTTGGATCGACTACAAAACTACACTGGTGTTCAGGGACAGGCATTAAGCTGGTTTAGATCGTACTTATCTGACCGTTATCATTTTGTCTCTTTACACGGGGGAAAATCAAAGTTAACGTCAGTAGACTACGGAGTACCGCAAGGATCGGTGCTAGGCCCTCTGCTATTCTCAATATATATGCTGCCACTTGGTAATATTATAAGAAAACATGGAATTAATTTCCACTGTTATGCTGACGACACTCAATTATATATTTCATCACGACCAGATGAAAACATTACCTCATCTAAATTGACAGAATGTCTCAAAGATATAAAATGCTGGATGACGCGTAATTTCCTGCTATTAAATTCAGATAAAACGGAGGTATTACTTATTGGTCCAAAAAACTACACACAAAACCTCTTACAATACGACTTTAATATAGAAGGATGTCCTGTTACTTTTTCCACTACAGTAAAAGACCTGGGTGTTATACTAGACCGCAACTTGTCTTTCGAAAATCATATTTCATATGTTACAAGAACAGCCTTTTTCCACCTTAGAAACATTGCTAAATTACGTAACATGCTATCTGTTTCTGATGCAGAAAAGTTAGTTCATGCATTCATGACCTCGAGACTAGATTACTGTAATGCTTTATTAGCTGGTTGTCCTGCATCTTCAATAAACAAGCTACAGTTAGTCCAAAATGCAGCCGCTAGAGTTCTTACTAGATCAAGAAAATATGATCATATAACACCGATTTTATCATCTCTGCACTGGTTACCTATTAAGTTCCGTATCAATTACAAAGTACTACTACTGACCTATAAAGCCCTTAATGGTTTAGCTCCTATGTACTTAACGGACCTTCTTTCGCCCTACAATCCACCGCGTTCTCTAAGATCACTAAATTCAAGGCTTCTGGTCATTCCTAGGATATCGAAGTCCACGAAAGGAGGGAGGGCATTCTCGCATTTAGCTCCAAAACTCTGGAATAGCCTTCCCGATACGGTCCGATGCTCTGACTCGCTGACACAGTTTAAAACTAGACTAAAGACGTGTCTCTTTAGTCAAGCATTCACATAATGCTTACCTTTTAGTCCTCTGCTATGCCATACGGAACCGTTTGCCACTGAAACTGCTTAACGCACCAGTGGGGCTCGACAGCCTTATAGACAAACGGGTCGGTCCGTATGGTTGCGGTTGGGTTGCGGAGAGTTTGGGTTGCGGAGAGTTGTGAGATTATGGTTTTCTAACACCTACTCCCGTGTAATGGAAATCATTATGAACATCAGCTATGCTAATTATTTCCCATCTGCCTTTCTGCTGTTATCTCGGGACGCTTGTCCCGAGAAAAATGGCGTTCGTAGGCTCTAGTTTTGTATCCTGCCTCTCACGGGGTTTTTGGATGCCCCAACGCCTGTGATGAGAAGACCAACGCCTGTGAAGAGACGACTCAACGCCTGCGAAGAGACGACTCAACGCCGGCGATATGTTATCCCCTTAATATTACATGATTAACTAAATGTATTTTTTCCAGGTACTTTCTGATATGCACTTACTGTAAAGCTTCTTTGAAACCCTATGATTGTTAGCCAGAGGAGAACTGGCCCCTGACTAGCCTGGGTTCTCCCAAGGTTTTTTTCTCCATCCAATCTGATGGAGTTTTGGTTCCTTGCCACTGTCGCCTTGCTTTTGGCTTGCTTAGTTGGGGATATTTAATATTCAACAATATTATTGAACTGTGTTGTACTACTTTCATGTTATCACTGTGAAGCTGCTTTGATGCAATCTGTATTGTGAAAAGCGCTATATAAATAAATGTGACTTGACTTGACTTGACATTTGTTATGGCAATAAATGCAGGAGAAAATCTCATCAGATGATGTTGGTCACTTATTGGTGATGTTATAGTCATCATATGGTGGTCTGATTCACTGATATGACAGTCAAATCTCTGAATATATTAGCGGAGATTACATTATATATAGATGGACTTTAGTTTTATACAAAGTCTATGATTAATGTAATAATTTTTCACATGACCCTTGAAATATTGTGGCATCACTATTATACCAATCTGAAATTTTACAAATATATATCAAACAGAAAATGTTTTGGGCTGGTTTATTATTAATTTTTTAGGAGTATAGAGACATCAAGAATCAACATATGAATCTCAACAATGGTGGCAATCAACAAAGCCTTTTTGTGACTTTATAGTAGTTCAGAGATGATCAGAATATATTTTCATTGTTACCATTGTTGTGATTCATACGCTGATTCTTGATGTCTGTGTGAGTCTGTATGATCCTGTCAAAACATTTTCTGTATAATGACTTCATAAAATCTGAGTATCACAGCACTGCAGGATCTTCTATAGCTGTATTGGCATGCAAAATTAACAACTAATATTTAACGACTTAATCAGATATTCCACTTCAGGTGGTATCAATAAAGCAGGCAACTGTATGATGACTATTATCACTAAAAAGTGCTCAACATCATCTAATCTGAGTTTCTCTTGGACTCCTACAATAACAAATATGTATCGGTGACACACAGTTAAAGCAGCCAGAGAAAAAATAATGTTAAAAACTAAAGGGTCAAGAGCCCAACTAAAGCAAACACTGATCTCCATCATGGTGACTTCATTATTTTCAATAAAATATCAACTTCTAAACCTCTGTTAATTCTCAATAAGAATGTTAGTATGAGAGAAATAAAGTCTGGATTGTAATAAGTGAGGATGCAGAGATCTTGAGAGATCTGTTAGTTTAATGTTCTGTTGGGATGTAAAGTGTTTTTGTATTGTCTGTTGTGTGTGTCACCATTGTGTTGAAGTGTAGAGCCTGTGCTTCAGTCCAGGATGAGCAGAGAAACACTGATGATGTGCTGCATGTTGCTTTATTTAACTGACAGTAACTGTGTAGTTGCTGATGCAGTGACATATAGTCATAGTAAATTATGCATGTAGTTAACTGCATGTTTTTTTGTAAAAAAATTAGGAAATAACTATGTTTCTGTTAAAAAGCTTAATGAAGATTTCTGTAAAAGTCTTTTGCACTTATTTAAATTAGGTTTTTGTACGGCATTCATTGCTGACAGTCATTGACTGTTTTTTATGGGATTTTTTTTACAGTTAGGGTGTTTGTGTCACGATTCATGAATTCGCTGTTTCCTTCATGTCTCGTGTTATTGTTGTTCTGTGAGTATGAGCGCGTGTGAGTGGGCGTTACCGCTCGTTCAGCTGATCAGTTCACCGGCTGATCTCATTATCAGCGCCAGCTGCTGTCAATTCACCTCACTATAAAGACTCATCACAAACTCCTCTCTTTGTCAGATCGTTGGTTTGGTGTCCTCTGTGTCGTGCTTCGTGTCCCTGTTGCAGTCTGTTCCAGTTTGAGTTCCTGTTCGGTGTCTTCGTGTCCCGTCTCGTCTGGAGTTCACCTGCACTGGATTCACCATCACCCGCACTGGATTCACCTTCACCTGCACACTGACCACTGAGTCCCTGCGCCACCATCTGCTGAGAATTCCTTGAGATTGTCTTTGTGTCTTCTGACCAAAATAAAGAGTTTACTTGCACTTGCTTCCGCGCTATTCTTGTGACAGTTTGATCGTAATTATTCAGATAATAGCTGTAAAATAAGTGTTTTTCTGTAAAACATTTAAGGAAAATTTCTGTCAAAGTTTTTTGCACTTAATTTAAATTAGAAATTAGGATATTTTAGTTTATTTTTACGATTTTTGTTTGTTAGCCGTAGCTGACAGTCATTGAGCGTTTTTTAAAGATTAAATTTTTTACAGTGTAGCTAAAAATGTATTAATTAAAAAAAAACAATATTAGTTTAAAGCAGAAACCGTGAGCTCATTGAAGTAAAGAATACTTGTGTGTTAACAACTGATTGGGGTATATAGAGAAATGCAGCATTGGTGCCTGTTGATTCAGAGCTTCATCTGGTCTTCACAGGAGTTGGAGTTTCTCGAGTCTCTTCACAGGTGTTGATCATCTGAAGTCTTCATAATACGCTGGATCCAAACTGGACCTGACACACTCTCTAGTTACCTCAGGATGGGCATCCCGAGATAAAACAGAAAAGCAAATGGAAAATAATGGAAAAACCCTTTGGAGAAACCAGGCTCAGTTCTCCTCTGGCCAAATAACACTTGATGACTGGCGTCGTGTTTCCATGGAGACCCAGGTCTGTTTCACTGGCATCTGCTGCACAGCTGGTGACTGTAAACACTGAAGTGTTTGTGCTCAGGATCCTCTGAGAGCTCAGGACTGCCAACACACATGATGAGGACAGGTGTGTTTATGCTAATGAGACAAGCAGAAACCAGCGATGGCATCAGTGCGGCTGTGCAAGTGTTCCACAGCGAGAGAAGATGCTGATGTCCAACGCGAGAATGAGATTCTGATCAGAGATCGAGACACACAGAGTCAGAACTGGACAAACTCTAGATCAGGTCGATTGGATTATGAAGCTCAAACTCAGACTCTTTTTTGTTCCAGCAGTCAAGCCTCTTCATCTAACTCATGAAACCTTCGTTACACTCTAAAAAATATTGGGTTATATTTTCTACCCAAATCCTGGGTTGAGCCTTTTGGGTCATTTTTGTGGGTTCTTTTTTCAGTGTTTGGGTAGTTTGTGTGTTACCCAGATCCTGTGTCAGACATAATAACCCAGTGTTTGGGGAGTTTTTGTGTTACCCAGATCCTGGGTCAGACGTAACAACCCAGTCTTTGGGCAATTTTTGTGTTACTCAGCTCCTGGGTCAGACGTAACAACCCAGTGTTTGGGTAGTTTTTGTGTTACTCAGCTCCTGGGTCAGACGTAACAACCCAGTGTTTGAGCAATTTTTGTGTTACTCAGCTCCGGGGTCAGACATAACAACCCAGTGTTTGGGCAGTTTTTGTGTTACTCAGATCCTGGGTCAAACGTAACAACCCAGTGTTTGGGCAGTTTTTGTGTTACCCAGATCCTGTGTCAGACATAATAACCCAGTGTTTGGGTAGTTTTTGTGTTACCGAGATCCTGGGTCAGACGTAACAACCCAGTGTTTGAGCAATTTTTGTGTTACTCAGCTTCTGGGTCAGACATAAAAACCCAGTGTTTGGGTAGTTTTTGTGTTACTCAGATCCTGGGTCAAACATAACAACCCAGTTTTTGGGCAGTTTTTGTGTTGCCGAGATCCTGGTTCAGATGTAACAACCCAGTGTGTGGGCAAATTTTGTGTTACTCAGCTCCTGGGTCAGACGTAACAACCCAGTGTTTGGGTAGTTTTTGTGTTACTCAGCTCCTGGGTCAAACGTAACAACCCAGTGTTTGGGCAGTTTTTGTGTTACCCAGATCCTTTGTCAAGACGTAACAACCCAGTGTTTGGGTAGTTTTTGTGTTACTCAGATCCTGGGTCAGACGTAACAACCCAGTGTTTGGGCAGTTTTTGTGTTACTCAGATCCTGGGTCAAACGTAACAACCCAGTGTTTGGGTAGTTTTTGTGTTACTCAGATCCTGGGTCAGACGTAACAACCCAGTGTTTGGGCAGTTTTTGTGTTACCCAGCTCCTGGGTCAGATGTACCAAACCAATGTTTGGGCAGTTTTTGTGTAACCCAGCTCCTAGGTCAGATGTAACAACCCAGTGTTTGAGTAGTTTTTGTGTTTCCCAGATCTTGGGTCAGACGTAACAACCCAGTGTTTGGGTAGTTTTTGTGTTACTCAGATTCTGGGTCAAACGTAACAACCCAGTGTTTGGGTAGTTTTTGTGTTACTCAGATCCTGGTTCAGACGTAACAACCCAGTGTTTGGGCAGTTTTTGTGTTATCCAGCTCCTGGGTCAGATGTAACAACCCAATGTTTGGGCAGTTTTTGTGTAACCCAGCTCCTAGGTCAGATGTAACAACCCAGTGTTTGAGTAGTTTTTGTGTTACTCAGATTCTGGGTCAGACGTAACAACCCAGTGTTTGGGTAGTTTTTGTGTTACTCAGATCCTGGGTCAGACGTAACAACCCAGTGTTTGGGCAGTTTTTGTGTTACCCAGCTCCTGGGTCAGATGTAACAACCCAATGTTTGGGCAGTTTTTGTGTAACCCAGCTCCTAGGTCAGATGTACCAAACCCAGTGTTTGAGTAGTTTTTGTGTTTCCCAGATCTTGGGTCAGACGTAACAACCCAGTGTTTGGGTAGTTTTTGTTTTTCCCAGATCCTGGGTCAGATGTAACAACCCAGTGTTTGGGTAGTTTTTGTGTTTCCCAGATCCTGGGTCAGACGTAACAACCCAGTGTTTGGGTAGTTTTTGTGTTAAAAAATGTTCTCAGAACTGTACATTGATTGTGTATGGACAGGTTATGGAGTCAGATCATATTTGGGTTACAAGTGAAATGCAGGGCGGCGACTGAAGTTAGAAGTTCCTCCAGTGTGTGACAGTGTGTTACAATGGAAGAACCGGGACAGCAGAGACTGGACCATTACTCTGGAATTACTTCTAAATGTTTAATTCTTACTTCCAATATTTGTCAAACGAGCTTAAATGTTAAGTGTTACTACGTGATCTTGTCATGATTTGTGCAACCAAACACAAAAGTCATTTCAAGCGTTTGAGATTTTTGGTGAACTTTCGTAGAACTTTAGTATACTTTTAGAACATTTCTTTAGAAGTATGTAGTAACACTTTAGTCATTACTAGTTAGTTCCCATGATCTTCACTTTAGAATACGGATCCAAATAATTAGTAATTCCCATAGAACTATGTAGTAACACTTGAGTCATTATTAGTTTGTTACCATGATTCTTACAGTAGTTACTAATGAAAAGCCAATAAAGTGTAGAATCTTCTCACTCACAAGATATGCACTCTCACACACACACACACACGCACACACATATATACACATATATATATATGAGCTAGGAGACATACATAAAAACATATTTTTTTGGGAGGTAGGTTAAATAATAAAATAACTGTATGGTATTTGGGTGGCTGAAGACTCAATATGTCCCAGTACTCACCGTGACTCTAGTGATTCAATGCCAGTCCAGAGGAATGCCGAAAAATTGGCCACAGGACAAGTAAGGTCCTGACAACTGCATTTAAAAATCCATTTCTTTAAAATTATTCAGTTGATAAATAGACAGCATAGGCCAATTATTAACAGCTTTCCCAAATCATAAGTCTGCTATGCTATTACAAATTGATAATGTAAACAACCTTGTGTATTGTTTACAGTAGCAGTTCAAATGTTAATGTAGTGCTAGTCATTTGTCCTGCATTGGTTATTGATTAGTTTTGCATAAATTATGAAAATTGTCAGTTGTTCTCTGGGAAGCATTAAAAAAAAATAGTGGTTATTGATTAGTTAATAGTGAAGTACCACTTTCATCTGTGCGCTATTACTTACTAATTCGTTAATCAGAGTTTCTTTTTAGTTAATAGTAGGTACTAGATTGTTAATACACTTTTTCAGTAGTTCTCTGGGAAGCATTAAAAAATAGTAGTTATTGATTAGTTAAAGCTCCTGTAGGTAACTTTTGAAAACATGTATTTGCTAAAACTGTCATTATGTCCTGACAGTAGAATATGAGACAGATAATCTGTGTAAAAATCAAGCTCCTCTGGCTCCTCCCAGTGGTCCTATTGCCATTTGCAAGAAATACACGCTCCCGGTCAGAAACAACCAATCAGAGCCGGGAGGAGTGTCTTAGCAGTGTCAATCACGCTCGTGTACGCGCTGATCACACCCCTCTCTTGCACAGCGCGAGCGCCGGAGCGCGAGCCGTCATTCAAACTCAAGATTGCCGGCGAGCTGCAGCTGTGCTTATGACGGAGAAACAACCTAAACTGCCAATTCTCCAGTGACACCTGCTCATAAAACAAAGAGGTAAAAGGAAAAAGACTGATGACGATAAACAAGCGAAAAAGAAAGAATTACACAGAGCCCATTGACTCAGTGTCAAAACTCTATAGCCGCATAACATGTAGATAAAATGTCACGCACTCTGCTAAGCAACAATTGAAACCTGCTAATTCACTGGCTTGTCATGTTGCTGAAATAATGTACTAGCACACCTTATCTAGCATTATATATCGCTAGAATAATTACTTACATACTGTAACGTTAGTTACCGTTATATTAACGTTATCTTACTAGCTATTTATAACTTATAGAAAGAGTGCAACGTTATAAAGTTACATAGGCTATTGGAAAATACATAATGATTTGAGGACCAAGTTTGTAGTCAAAGTATGGGCAGGCCATAGTCAATGTAAAGCATATTATTGACGTTTAGTCCCTATTAGTGAATGTGCCATATAACTTTTTATCCACCGTCATCGGTGGGCCTGTTTACTAGCCTGCGCGTTCACGACGGGCTCCGCTGTGGAGGACGAGCTGTGGAGGGAGGGCTGTAGCGCAGCAGAGAGCAAGGGGGTGGGACCTGTAAGTTGTGCTTGTTCAAATTTTCAGGCTAAATCAACGTTTTCTCAAAACTCCCTACTGCAGCTTTGATAGTGAACAACCACTTTCATCTGTGCGCTATT